TGTATATATAAAAATGTGTGTATATATATATAGAGAGAGAAATATAAAATAAAGACTAAGAAGTCTAGGACTCCCTCAACTTTAGGTTCTGATTCCGCAACTTCAGCTCTGACCTTGGCAGGGCAGGATAAACGTCTGCTGGTGGGCTGCGGCCCGTGCTTCTCAAAAGGGCTCCCGACAACGTCTCAAAAGAGGTGATGTAGGGGGCCCCAACAATCATTACCAGTACTATTTTGGGGTTCCTTATCAATGATAGGGCCCTGTATTGCACTTTGGTTTTGGGAGGTTTAGGCCTCAACGCTCGGACTTGTGCATCGCTTGCGGCAAACACGTGTGAAAGCTGTACTAGCTGGCTGTCCTTACCCTGCATCAATGAGGCTCTAGTCCAGCCAGTTGTGCTTTTGTTTGTAGTGAAGTCATACCAGACGGTTTCCAAGCGGAATTAAGGTCAACCTAACGAATGCAACACACAGCTTGTCGAGCAGGCTTCACATGTCCTATTGGGGACTCAAGAGCTCCATCCAAGGGTGAAGAAATCAGCCCGGCACTGCCGAGAGCATCTGCTGCACGACGATCGCAGCGTCCTTCTCGGTAAACTGGCCCACCTCTCAGGGATTCCGTTCGGATGCTCAGAGGCAAGGACCATGAGGCGAGTTTTGTTGAAGAGATGCGATGGGAGTAGAGTGCAAGGGAAGCCTTACCGCCCGCCTCGATGATGCGATCGAAAAGCTCGCCACCTGTACACAACTCCATGGCCAAGTAGATGTGCTTCCGGTCCTCCCAGACAGACACAACACAACTAGCGCGAGACCCGGAAACGTGAGAGTCACTGCTTTGCTAGCTTTCTCCAAGCTTGGCTTGAAAACGAAACTCTATAGCACGGAGATCTAAAGCAAAATTTATATTTTCCCGGATAGCTGTGTGCAGTATGTAATTTACACCCTGTACGCTTGCATACGCGCCCAGCATGCAGCCACACCGTCCGCAACCCCCAATCGATGCTTCCAGAAGGGCATTTCATGGTTGAGAGCCCAAATAACTAAAGCTAAACGACCGGTGACAAGACCAATATGTACGCTAGCGATCACTCACGGACATCGAAATATATGTCAACAACAAGTGCGCCAAAGGCCATAGCATGGAACCGGCAAGCAGCTTCATACTATGCATGACTCTCGCCACCTCGAAAGTTTCGTAGAGCTTGATGATGTTTGGATGGTCCTGAAGAGGACCAAAGCCACTTCAAACCCCGTCATGGTCCGGAAGGTGCAGTTCAGGGGCCGTCCAGGGTGTCGACCCTCCCACGTGGCCCCCCAGAACATGTGCCTGTTAGTGACAGTGCACATATCCCATGCGCTGGTTGCACTACAAACTCCGCCGACAGTTGGCACGGGACCTGTAAGATCCACAGCATCCGAGGCGGGTTAGGCTGCCCGTCCAGCCATTGTGCTAGGAAATCTCGAACTTCGTTGATGGGCAGAGTTCTTCGACATGCCCGGCGACGATACATAAATGCGGGTGTGTGTGTGTGTGGGGCGGGGGGAAGGGTGGGGTGGTGGTGTGCATGTAGCTGTACATGTACACATGCATCCATATATTCATTCGTGTGTGTGTGTGCATACATAGACAGCTCGAAGTACGGAGACACACGGAAAGATGTAAAGTCAATGTAAGGGAAGCGTGAAGTGCATGCAGCGCAGCCAATGCTGTGACTCTGCCAAAGGTCCATGGTTTTCATGATCTGGATCTCTTGCTGGAAGCGGACCACATGCTTCCTTAGCCGGCAGAGATGCATGATTGGGAAAGAGGTTGAACATCTGACTTTCTACATGATGGACCCTCGCTGCTCAAAGAAAGAGCAAGTCCTTTTCTGGAAGCACGCCTGCTCCAAGGCCGAAACATGCTAGCTATCGCCTGGCATAGATGCCAGTTGTGCAGGCTCCGATTGTCGAGGCGTTGAAAACGCAGAAACTTGAAGCTATGCTTAAAGACAAGGCATCTGCCCGGTACGGGTGAAACTCGGACAATTCCAGCCGCGGGTGACGAGCCCTGGCTCTATACGTACACACATACATGCATGCATACATGCATACATACATACATACATACATACATATATACACACACAGACATATACACACACACACACTCACACAGACACAGGTACGTACGCGGTATGTATGTATGTATGTATGTATGCATGTATGCATGCATGCACTTTTGGCCTTGTATACGCAGTACTTATATGCATACACACATGTGTATATATATATACAAATTATCATATATTTATATATAAATACATACAAAAAATACACGGTATGTCAGCCTGCGTTGGGCCCAACATAGTAGACCGAGACGGGCAATTCCACCTTGCACCAGTAGCGGACACCATCGTGTGTTACCCAAGTGCCCATGTCATCATGTGAAGGAGTGCCATGCACTTGCCAAAACAAATCCGGGCTCTGCCCGATCACTGACTGAAGCCTCTGCTGTTCCTCCGGTGAAGCCTTTGTGGTAGAGGTCGGATCGGGAAACCCTACCAGTCGGAGCAGAGATGGCGCGCGACACACCCCATTGACTTTCTGCGAGGTGAAAGACCAGCCGCTCTCCTGCAGTAGAGTTGCTGCAACCACCAGATCCGAACGCCTCTGCATGGCCATGCGAATTGCTTGGCCGTGTTCCTCGAGGTCATCCACAAGTATCTCAGCCATCTTGTCTGGATGCTCGGTTAAGAACTGGAGCAAGACTTTCGTTGCATCCTTAACTCTGTCCTGGGATGCATACAACATCTATACATGAGAAGAACGGCATTCGGCATGACTTCTCCAACGGTTGGGCAGTTGATGGCATCTTACGAAATCCCACAAAGCGACTATTGTCACCGTACAGGTTCTTGCTTGTTGGGAATGTATATCTATCTATCTATCTCTTCTACATATGTCGGGCTGTTCCTGTAGCATGCGTGCTTACGACCGATGTCGCTGCTATGTCTGTCCTTGATGCTATTCCTACTCCTGCTGTTGTGGGGGCTGGGGCTGCTATTGGTTGTTACCGATGTTGCTAGTCTGGTTGCATTTCGATGGTGGTAGCAAATATATTGGTGGTTCCAGTTGCGATCGTCGTTGTCGTCGTCGTCGTGGTTGGAGGTGGTCGCCACGGTTTGGCTTCTCCCATCGCGGACGGCGGCAGTGGCCAGGGTGCGAGCTGTTGCGGCTGCTGGCGCTGGGTGTTCTTGCAGCACTTGCTACCGTTCCTGCTTGCGTTTGGGCTGCTGCTCGAGAGCTGTAGCACTTAGTGAGCAATTGTGCTGGATACTGAAGGAATGCCAGGTTTCTCCCACCGTCTTCTCGGACTGCGCCGTGCGGCAAAGGATCGTGGACAGCTCGCCTAAACTTTGCATGCAGCTGCTTCCTCTGCTTAATGCCACCTGGCAAACACACGAGGAGAAAATAAAAAGCCCTTGTCAGTTGTCACTTTGCAAAGAAAAAGAGAGAGCGAGTTTAACTTACTTACACATGGCTGACCAACATTGACATAAGGACGCTGTGGGATGCGCCAACAGAATCAAACATTGCAAACGAATGGTGTTACAAAATCGCCAACCTCTGCGGCGCCATACTTTGCCTCGAAGAGGCAGCACCAATCATCCATCCTCCTGCCAGTGCACCGCTCCGGAGACTGAAAGCAAAGCCTTGGATTTCTGTCCTAGCCATACCAGCCAAGCATTTGCTCCCCCGTTGTTCTTACCCCAATACTGCAAGTACATAATGTATGCATCTACATATAAACGTATATTGACCTGTAGATTGGGCTATATACACATACATACTTACACGTGATGTGCACACCGTGCAGTGGCTCTTCTCGTTGGCTCGCTCTCTCTCTCTCTCTCTCTCTCTCTATGTAAATATATATATATATATACATACATACATACATACATACATACATACATACATACACACGTACATACATACATATATACATATGTGAACGTACGTATGTGGGTATGCATGCATGCTTGTGTATTTTGTTCTATGTACAGTAATATAAAGTACATATCTATCTATCTATCCATCCATCTATCCATCCATCCATCCATCTACCTATCTATCTATCTATCTATATATATATGTGTGTGTGTGTATGTATGTATGTATGTATGTATGTATGTATGTATGTATGAATGAGTAATACAGGCACATACGGTCTACACTCCGTCTACGATGTCTTGGCGATAGCAGAGGTCGAGCTTCAAACGGCAGGAAGCCATCCCCAGGATATTGCGAAGAAAACGCTTCTCAAATCATCCGAGAGACATGCCGGTAAGGAAAGCGAAGAGCTGGCCAACGACCGCATCCCTGTGAGCTTTCCTCTTGCTGGAGAAAAAAGTGCCCCAATCAGAAAGACCTGCGGTCTGGTCCGTTTGTGACGTCATAGACGAACAAGAAAGTAGCCTGAACCTAATTATAAACAGAAGTAGCCTTTTCTCCACCTCCGAGGCTCCGACTGAAGAGAATGTCGCCCTGCACGTCGCTCAAAAGCCGGGCCACTGCATCGCAACGCCTGCAAAGGTCATCTCCTTCCACAACGGTCGGGGCTGAAGGGGATACCTGCAAGCCTGGGCTGCGGCGGGTAAATAAAACACCAAAAACCAATGAAGGCAGCAATCATCATCGTAGCTTACCAGCAGGCTTCATGTTGGACCAGGCCCCAAGATGCAAAAACTTTTCCAGCCGACACCAAGAAACACCGATTCAGCAGCTCTCCAAAACCATCATGCGTTAATGGCAGCCCGTCGAAGCTGAACTGAACCGGCGTCACAGGACCTTCCAGCTCTTGCGAGTGCCCGCCGCCCATGATTGCGGGAACTGGCTGCAGGTGGTCAACGCCGGAAAAGGATGAATTAGGAGGATTCATTGCGAACGATGTAATCATTCGATTTTATCGATAGCAGCGTTGCATCCCAGTCGTAGTGCTGGTGGTGGTGGTAGTAGTAGTAGTAGTAGTAGTAGTACAGTAGTAGTGAGCATTGAGCAAAACAGCTTGTGAACAGTGGTGAGAACAACATGCGAATTTTCTTGACACTGATGACATGGCAATCGCGGCAACATTCCAGCATTGTGCCACACAGCAGCACAGGCAACCTTAACTATTCTAGCTACAGCTCTCTCTCCCTCGCTCTCTCTGTCTCTCTGTCTTGCCTCCTCGCCACTGGCGCTCCGTTCGTCCGGCGTCCGGCGCCCAGGCGCCTTCCCCCTTTTCTCACCTTTAACCCTTCCTCAACGCTTATCCCGGCCTGGATCCCGAACCAATGTCTCGCTCTCTCTCTCTCTCTCTTGCTTGCTTGCTTGCTGGGGGTGTGAGGGGAAAACCGTCTCTCTCTCTCTCTCTCTCACTCTCACTCTCTGCAGTACTGGTACTGCTGACATTTCATGTGCTTTTACCTGTTGCCACGTCTGCAGAGTAAGTCATGGCCGGGGCACATATTGGCTTTTGACATGGTCTTGATCGCACGCTGCTGGTGCGTACCTGCAGAACCGCTGATACCGTGATCCATCCATCTGGTGACTGCAAACGGGCTCTACTTCTACACGATGGTTGCACGGAAATGTCTGGTGATGACTGCGGATGCTCCTACAAGTACCTGGCCAAACATAAACCCAGCGTCTGTGGGCATGCGGACCTCAAAAGGCTCTGCTAACAGGAACATCTCGGCTCTGCAAGGCCAATGCGCAATGTGTTGCAGGAAGTGCTCTCACTCGAACAGAGGATACTTTGCAATTGCATATACCCCGAACGCCATCACAAAAGTAAGGATGAAGAGATGCACATTCGGATGTCGCCGCCAACCTCGGCCGAGTCCGCTTGAGACCCTCCCAGATACAGTTGCAGCTCTAGGTGCTGTTGTGCACGCCAATGGTGACGGAGCCATAGGTGCCTTCACCGATCTTATTCGCCTGCAATGTATACATGTCCTGAGCTTCACAGCAGAGAAGGCCGAGTTGTCATTGCTCAGCGTCCGTTATCCGCAGAAATTACTGAGAATCGCAACCATAACAACAGTTACAATATGTTGCAATCATGAGTACGACTGCTAACATATTGCTGCCAACAAACACATCGCGCAGTCTTTCTGCAGAGTCCTTGTCCCTGAAAGCATTTCTGCGTTCATTCTCTTTGCCTGAAAGGCTTTAGGATTAAGGGCAAGAATATGATATACGGGGTAGCAAAACTGGGCCCTGCAATGTCCCGAGGTGATCTTTGTCCACGCAAAACAGTTTGTGCCTAGGAACATGTGCTGTGCAAATACATATGCATGTACGTACATGTAGTAAATACACATACATACATACATGCAACCATGCGTACATACGTACGTACGTACATACAGTGCACTACGGCACGGTACAGTACAGTGATTGTGCGATATTGTGCGTGCACGTAAGTAAGTGCGGATGGTGTGGGATTGTCCAATGTAGGCAGCTCAAGCACCGCGTCTAGCCTGCATTTGTTGCAGTCTGCAAGTTACGATCCCATGGGCGACACGCCATCTGGATCTAGTAATGTCGCATGAAAGACCCGAAGTTTCTGCACTTGTTCCAGAGCCAAGTGTCCTGCACATCGCCAGGGTGGCTAATGATGAACTTGCTCCTTGACCTCACTCCATGCAGGGGAGCCAAGACAGGGAGAACAACAAAACCTGACCTTCTCGCAATGAACTGTCCCGGTACGTCTTCCCGCTGAGCCCACGACACTGTGTCGCCTTTGGCGTGCTTTGGTTCCTTCTCAGGTTATCACAATGCAATCAACATGCAGAACAAGCAGGAAAGCTGGCAGTTCGGGAAGTTGAAGGTGTGCATTCGATCTGTCCAACAACCACAGTAGCTGGTTTTGACAACAACATATGCAAAATGACTTCTCTGACCTGGTGCATGTCCTTTGCGCGTATGCCAATACGCTTCCCCAAGTCATATTCCCTTCGGGCATGCACTTGTGAATTGAGGGCTTCCTTTGTGCAAACCGCAAAGTTGCCTGTTAATTACGTCCATCATAGTCATATATATATATAGATAGATAGATAGATAGATAGATAGATAGATAGTCAACCCAACCTTGAGCTTACACAGCAGCCACCGATTGTGCCGAGCTTCGACCAGGACCTCGGCGGACGCGACGGGTTTGCCCCGCTCGTTGTCGGAGACGACCACGCTGTTTCGGATGACATCCGGCTTTCCTGCGGAGGAGCTCCCAGGTTCTGAGTTCGGGGGGTTGGAGTTACGAGTAGCGCCTTGAAAGGCAAATGAACTTCTGGAGTACCACACCGGATTTGTTCTGGCCCATACCGGACAGACTCAAGATCCTCAGAACTCAAAGCCTCAAATCCGACGCTCAAGCCCTGCAGAAAGTGACATGGAGGGCTGTCGACGTTTTAATCTATACTCGTATAGAGCATTCTAGTTTTTCATACGTTGGCAGCTTGCCCAATGCCGGAAAATGGACAGAAGGAGATGGACAGGCAGGCTGAATTCAAAAATGCTTTGGGGTGGATGAGACCGAAACAAACAGCGAAGAATCGGAGAACTCGTAACGAAACGCACATACAAACTGAATGCAAAACCAGTACAAGCCTTTGATACCCTAAGCCTTCCACCCCTCCGTCAGCAAAAGGCATGCGCCTATGCACGCGCCCATACCGGCAGAAGTTGGCGAACTCTTTGGATTGGACGTTTTGAGCCGAGAGCTCTCAGAAGGGGTGCTTCGCGCTGAGGTCTTGTCTGGTGTGAATATGGAACTTCGGGGCTTAAGGCTGGTGTCGGGACGTCTGTTGCCGAATCATCATCATGTCAGAATATTCGTCTCGTGTGCCGTGTGCCGTGTGATTAACAGCTCAGTGTGGCTGCTGCGGTATATGGCCCGCTCTCCTTGCCACATGTAAGGCTTGCAGCTCTAAAGCACGGAAGGCACTCAAGGCACAACGACCGGGACCCTGCAATCACCAAGTGCACATTGGGAGCCGCGCTGCGGCTACCCCCTGGGCGTCATGAAACGCAACGAGCAACTGAAATTAAACGGATCTCGGCCAGCGCTGCTCCGTTCGGCTATCCATCTCGGGACTTACGGGATCTGAGGCCATCAGGAAGTATTCCCAGAGTTTGGAAGAGCCACAAAAGGGCTTCATGAACTCCGAAGCCTGCAGCTGTCAGCCTGGTATACTCGTACTTCACACGCCAACGATGGTGCTAAGGGGGGGCGATCAGAGCTTTTGCCCAACATACCCCTGGATGCCCCTGGGGCCCGGTGCATGTGGCGCCCCTCAGCTCTTGGAGGAGGTCCTGCTACCGTGGCTGCGAAAAGGGGGGGCTTGATTGTGCCATTTTATGAAGAGGCTTGGCAACTCTAAACTTCAGCTCCTCCTGCAGATTGATGCTGTTGATAATGAGGATTGGGGTTTGCTGTGCTAGCTGCTAGTGGTAGACAAAGAGGCTGTAAAGCAGACTTGCCCCGCATCAGGGAATATCAGCAAGGGCCCTCCCTGCACCAGGTCAATGTCCTCGTTACTCGTCGCGCGACGGAAGCAGCAACAACTGCAATGTGGCTAGACGATGATATCCTAGCTGGGAGCCTTTTGGGACCAATATTGTATTATATTATATTATATTATATTATATAAATCTATAAAATCAAAGCCCAGACCGCACACCCTCTCTCCTCGGAGAGTCGCCCGGACTTCACGCCGGTGTAGAGCGCCGTCTGCGCAATCGCAGGAGGTCTTTTTAAGCCAACTCCGATGTTGATCAGGAATTGTTCTTGTGCAGTGGCCATAGTTTGCTGATGTGGTCGTACTGGCGTACTCATACATACCCCCAAAACAGGAGGATAATAACAATAGTGAGACCACATATTATGTACAAAAATCCGCAAGAACTATAACAGAAAATCTGTCTCTGCTCTCTGGATTGCTTTGCTGGGAATCCCGGCCAGCGTGGATTGCAAGGAAACAAAGTCCCGCTGCTGCTGGCCAAGCTTGCTGTTCAGCCTGAGGTGAGTGCAATAGAAGAAGAAGTAGTAGTAGTAGTAGTAGTAGCAGTAGCAGCAGCAGCAGCAGCAGCAGCAGCAGCAGCGGCGGTCATGGAAGCACCTATTCAATCTGTTCGGCCTAAGAGTAGTGCGCCAGTGACGTTTATTCTCTCCGCCGACACGGGGCACTGTTGGCTCTTCCTCTCGGGTTGCTGACAAAGCAGCAACTGCCCAAAACCAACCAAGTTATGGCGGAGCTCTCTGGAAGGAGATTCTGGATGGGCAAGCCACATAATTACGTTACACGCCGCTGCAAACCGGACATGGGCACACGCGCACACACACACAGCCGATGCAGCAGAAGACATGTCCTTTTGGAATGTTCAAGGGTTCGATGCGATTCCTGCGCTCCTTTGCGCATCTATGGAGCAGCTGCGCATTCATTGGCAAAGCTGCCAGGTCGGCTTCGGCATGCACTTTTCGGGGCGGAGGATCGGGGTTTCACAAGTTGTGCATCGGTGGACGACAGGACAGCGCACTCACCAAGTTAGATAGAATCGTAACCAAAGATATGTGTAAGTTTGCATAAAAACCATGATACAATATAGTTATATATATATATATGCACCTTTTCGTCTGTTTTTGCATTTATGTATTTCTGACGCACCCACACATCCGTACAAACGCTTGCATGCATGCATACACACTTGCATACATACACGAAAACGTACATAAACGCATGAAATCACATTAATGCATACATGCCTGCGTGCATGCATGGTGCGAACAGAGATCCATCCGTCGGGGTGGGGGCAAATGCAGCCGTTGCCAGTGAAGTCTGTGGCTCAAGAGTTGGGCTTGAGCTTGAAAGCCTTGTCCCAAGAAACACTAAAATTCGTCAGAGTACAGCGGTATACATAGACGAACATGCACGTTGAAACAGGCTTTATGCCAAAGCCCCCCTCTCGTTGTGAGAGACATGGCCGCAGGCTGCTGCTGACCGGAGGCACACCTGCCAAGGGCTTACCACCCCCGACCCGGACACGCTCATCGACCTGCTTTAGTTGAGCACTTAGTCCAGGGATCTCTCAAAGCTGGAGCTGGAGGACAGGAGGAAGCGGTTTGCTTGTCAGGTCGGCGGTGAAACTCCGTACTCAGGTAGATGTTTGCCACCACATTGGCCTTAGTTGTGGAGGGCGAATTCAGCTAGCAGTGCCCCAGCCTCATTGACATGCAGCGCCCCGGAAGGTGGCGAGCGTTACATGTGTTGCAAATGGCCGCCGAAGTTGAGACAAGGCTCTCACGAAACCACTGAAGAGTCCCGTGTGCTGCTGGCGGCTGGCCGACCTTTGACCACAGCCCTATTCATACTATATTGATCCTGGCTGTTTCCGTACTTCAGTGCATGTATGACAATATGCATAGGCATATCGAAAAGGAGCAGCTGATTGCTATGTAGGTCTATGATAGGTACCCTTACTACACAGACATAGATGTGTATATATATATAAACAAACATATATCTAAGTGTATATATATATAGAGTTATTTATAGATGTAGACAAACAGATGTTCGGCATATAAATATATATATATATATGCGCAAATTTATTTAGTTTTATGTGTGCATTTCTGATAACTTCTGTATACACGAGCATGCATGCGTATGTGCTGGCTCCCTGACAAACCGACAGCAAGAGCACATCCCAATCTCACTAAACTGAACCTAGGAGCACTAAGTCTCAACCAGACAGGAACCCAATTGTATGCACCGACTGCAGACACAATTGGAGCAATCTCCCTTTCGCGTCTGGTCTGCATCTCAGAACTGAAACCCTGAATCCGAACCACCCCAACACAACAACCGCATCATACACTGTCGAAAAAACTCCTAAACCCTAAACCCCTAAACCCCTAAAATCCTATGCCGACCCGCCTTCTGGCTCGGAAGGCTCAACCCTCGGCACGCTTTCGTGCCTGCTCCAGGCCCAAGAAGGGTGTGCCATGGGGAGAGAAGGAGGATGCTCACGAAAACCCTGTGAAGCAAGCAGCTTTTGCCTCTGAACCGGTCATATCCAGCCCGGGCATACATACATATATATATATAAACAAATATAAACAATAAATATTATATATATATATACACATACATGCACACACACACACACTCATCTACTTATATTTATATGGATGGCACTAGAATCGCCGGCCGCCCTGAACCTCCTGCCCACTGCAATACAAGCGTGCCTCGGCTAAGGCTCGCATCTTTTCGCGCAAGGCCTGCTGTCAGGGATGGTGCGGGGTTCTGAGTACCGCTGGTTGGGCCGGCTGATGTGCCTGCGTGCTTGCAAGCTTCAAAAACAAGCAAAGCTTTAATGCATGCTGGCGGGCATACTGTGGGTGTATGGAACGTGATGGATGGTCCCATGTCATGCCATGTCGTATCTGTGTGTCTCCTTTGCAATTTCACATAGATTTTCCGCAGTGATACACAAAGAAGCAATTCAAGACAACGTTTGGACAGGCAATACAAGGAATAGGCATCGATTCCCAAGGATCAAAGGGCATGCACGTGGAACTCTACATTCTATACAGAGCGCTGTTGATGTTATGTGCAGCCATACAGTACACCTCCAGGACACCCACATGGTCAGGTAGGCAAACAAACACGGACACATCATTCTATCTGTGTCTGTGTCCGGGCACGTGGTCCCGTATGTGTCTCAAAGTGCACAAAGACACGTTGCATCTGGATGTCCCTATCTCTTGCCGTTTCACAATTTGTTTGGTCTTGGCCTGTTGGAACCAGCGAATAGGGTCCCTCTTTGGCGCTTGCAGGCAAGTGCCTCAACAAGTTCTGTGTATCACTGGCCTTTCTCTCATCGTCCATGGAGGCGGACTGTGCCGGCTGGGATGGTGGACCCAGTGCCGGCGGCTGTGTGGGCGGATCCTTATCAGTCAGTCTGCAAGAAGGCAACTCGTAGCGCCCACTTTCCATGCGATGATGCACACAGATCGACATCCACAAACTTCAAACTACTTGATGACTGCAGCACTATCCTGGTACTACGAGTGTCAACAGAAGTGAACAGCAGCAGGATAACCTGAATGCCGGCACCAGGGTCTGGAACTATCCTTTTGGATGCTTCCACTGGCCTTGCGGCTGTGTCTAGCTGGTCTCGCTGACCTCCCGTGACATCGCAATGCAATGCAGTT